AAACCACTTCATATTTGTAATAATTTTGTGGGATAGAAATATCAAATCATGTAATTTAAATTTAAAAGGAGTCTCAGAAGCCTTGTGTGTGTGTGTGTGTGTGTGTGTGTGTGTCTCCGACACACATGAGATCAGACAGTTAAGTCGCAAATTTTTTGCAGTGATGTTGCTAACTGTTTTTGATATCAGAGGGATTATTCATTATGAATTTGTGCAGACTAGACAGTTAACCGAATTTATTATTTGGAAGTGCTAAAGAGGCTGAGTGAAAAAGTTATATGACCTGAACTTTTTCCCAATAATTCATGGCTCTTACATCATGACAATGCACCAGCTCACATGGCACTGTCTGTGAGGAGGTTTTTAGCCAGTAAAAAAATAACTGTATTGGAACACCCTCCCTACTCACCTGATCTGGCCCCCCAATGACTTCTTTCTTTACCTGAAGATAAAGGCATTATTGAAAGGAAGATATTTTTATGACATTCGGGACATCGAGGGTAATGCGATGACAGCTCTGATGGCCATTCCAGATGAAGAGTTCCAAAACTGCTTTGAAGGGTGGACTAGGTGCTGGCATCTTGCATAACTTCCCAAGGGGAGTACTTCGAATGTGACCTTAGTGATATTCAGCCATGAGGTATGTAGCACTTTTTTTAGGATGAGTTCGCGAACTTAATTGTCAGACCTCGTGTGTGTGTGTGTGTGTACACATGTGTACACATATTACATATATGTATAAATATGTAATACACATACTTGATAGTAAATAATTTCTGACAACAGATTTAAAATGTTTTCATTCATTTTCCTTTTGAAGGATTAATCTTCCTAATTCCCTGTAAGATAACTCATCATCAGACCCCCCCCTTTTTTTTTTTTTTGACAGAAAAAAGGAGCAAAATGGTAGGGAGAGAAGCACTTCTGAGCTGATGCCCACTGTCTAGCTTTCCAGCTCGGGCATCTGTGTGCAGTGCTGAAGCGCCATCTACTGGTCACTGAGTGAAAATGCCTCTTGCAGATTTGTTCCAGGTGCTGGGTGTGGTCCTGAGGTGTGTCCTGCTTCAGTTCCTGCTTCTGCGTGCGTGCGCAGGCACGCACGCGTGCACACACACGCACGCGTGCGCGCGCGCGCGCACACACACGCGCGCGAGGTCTGACAATTAAGTTCGCGAACTTATCCTAGATAAGTGCTACATACCTCATTGCTGAATATCACTGCAGTCACTTTCGAAGTACTCCCCTTGGGAAGCTATGCAAGATGCCAGCACCTAGTCCACCCTTCAAAGCAATTTTGGAACTCTTCACCTGGAATGGTCCATCAGAGCTGTCATCGTATTACCTTCAATATCCCAAATGTCATAAAAATATCTTCCTTTCAATATTTCCTTTATCTTCAGGTAAAGAAGTCATTGGGGGCCAGATCAGGTGAGTAGGGAGGGTGTTCCAATACAGTTATTTTTTTTACTGGCTAAAAACCTCCTCACAGACAGTGCCATGTGAGTTGGTGCATTGTCATTACTAAGTCAGAGATTAGGTCATGTTGAACTTTCTTTTCTTGATACGGAAAATGATGCTATGGTTCCTCATAGAAGAAAAGCATATTCTTAGTACAGTTTCTTTTATTAAAGGGAAGGAGGCCGGCTGAGTGGATCAGTTGGTTAAGGGCTCGCTCAAGAGTGTGAGCTCTGAGCAACAGCAGTTTGATGCCCGGCCTGAGCTGAGCTGCTGCTGAGCTGCCAACAGGTGGCAGGATGGCCCAGCTAAATAAATAAATCATAAATAAATAAATAAATAAATAAAAGGAAAGATAAATCCATCTTTAACAGTTTCAAAATTTAAGATTTACTTAAACTACATAAGTGACTTAATCTTAAAGCACTTAAAGGCACCAGTTATAAGGAAACTTTTTTCTGAGGATTTACTTAAACAGCGGTAATGGTACTTTTTGTAGGAATGCTATACAATGTATTTTTAGAAAACTAGGAAGTCTTTTCCTTTCTAGACAAAAATTTATAGTCCTGAAACCTTCAAGAGTAGCATGTAACATTTTAAATTAAAGCAGTCTCTTCTTCCACCTTTTCATGTACATTTTATACAAATTACACATTTTTATATAAGTATTTATGTGACACAAAGTTCGAGCCCCTTTGATACTTACTTTTAAGGTATGTCAGAAAATTGACATTTTATATTAATTTCTTTAATTCTGCAGTTAATAGCAGTACCAACTGCATAAACTTTAAAGAAAATGTCATAAACATTAAAGCTCCACACATGACTTCCTTTTTAATGTAGGAAAAAAAATCAATTATAAAAAGTATTATTCATTAGTTGTATTTTCTTACTGTATCACATATTTATTTTCTTAAAATATTAAACAAGTCTTCTTATCTTAGATATTATGTTTTCCAAAGTAGAAATGTATGTAAATAAAGCATTTAGCACAGGAGTTGAAACACAGTAAGTCTTCAATTAAATTCTGTTTCACTAAAAAAAAAAAAAAAAGTGTTTGAAATATTTAATTTACTTCTATAAAACCCACCCAGTAGAATTTGTGAGGTTACAAGGAACTATCTCATATTGTATCATCTTAAGTAGCTCATGGTAGGACAAGTCATGAAACAGGCTCTCCCTAGCACTTTTTACTATATTTTATTTACTTATTGCTTTGTTTCGTGCCTCCACCGCCAGAATTTACAAAAACACCTTGAGAACAGGGCCTTATCCTTTATTCATCACCTCATCCCCAGGGCCTGTACAGCTTCTGGCACGTGGAGGCCCTCAGTAAATACTGTTCAGTGTTATTGAATAGCGAACATTACCAGTAGCATAAAATTATTATTTTATAAATGTGTTTTATCTTTTGCACCTGAAAACAAATCTATAAGCTTTTAAAATTCTATTAACTTATAAAATAAGGAATAGAGTTTATTGAATAATAATATATTGAAGGAGTTATTTGCAGAAGGTCAAATGACTATGGACAGAGACATAATATTTAATCCTTATCCCTAAGAAGATAGTATTCTGATTGGGAGCTAGGCGGTGCTTCATGAAGTAGCTATAATTCAAGTTGCATTTTTAAAGATGAGAGTATAAGTGGGTAGAAAGGAGCAATAAGTAGGGCCTTTCAGACAGAGAGGGTAAGAAATGAGGCAGGGAAATGTGAGGTACATTTTCATAGGGAGGATATTTAGTTGCCCTGTGCCTGGTGAATGTTCTGGAAGTGTTTACTGAATTCATCTTGTTTTGAAGATGTGTGTAGATGCTCAGCTCCAGAGCTCAGAGTTGAGGTGGTAGGCACCTACCTTTGCCTACTGATGAGGCAAATTTTACCACTTAAAACGAATGTCTTATTAACTCACTCATTTAGCTACATGGGATTCCACTCCTAATAAATAGCTCTTGATATCCATTTTAGAAAAAAATGTTTCCTGGTTCTTAGGATAATTTCGGTTGGAATTCTGAGGGTTTTCTGGAAGACTTCTGAGAAGAGAATCAAGAAAGCATTATTTCAGTGATGTTAATCCAGGACAATAGAGAGCATTTCTTGACAATAGTGACATGTTAGGCTTCTGGAATATTAACAGTGTGAGGTGAAAAGGATCCAAATTAGTTGGCTGGCATTGGGGATAGAAATAAAGAAGCCAATCCCACATCCCAAAGAAAGAAAGAAGTGGGATTTGGGGGTTAAATTTTAAGGGAGAAGTCAAAAGATTTATGCTGTAACTCTGCTCCATTAAAACTCAAACAACTCAACAACAAAAAAACAAGCACCCCAATTAAATGGGCAGAGGACCTGAAAAGACATTTCTCCAAAGAGGAAATACAAATGGCCAGTAGACATGAAAGAATGCTCAACATCAGTAATCATCAGAGAAATGCAAATAAAAACCACAATGAGATATCATCTCACACCAGTTAGAATGGCTATCATCAACAAGACAAATCATAAGTGTTGGAGAGGCTGTGGAAAAAAGGAAACCCTCATACACTATTGGTGGGAATGCAGTTTGGTGCAGCCGCTATGGAAGGCAGTGTGGAGATTCCTCAAAAAATTAAGATTAGAATGACCATATGACCCAGCAGTCCTCTCTTGGGTATCTACCCAAAAAATCTGAAAACATTTATCTGTAAAGATATATGTGCTCCGATGTTCATTGCAGCCTTATTTACGGTGGCCAAGACATGGAAACAACCAACGTGTCCTTCAATAGATGATTGGATAGAGAAGTTGTGATATATACACACAATGGAATACTATTGTGCCTTAAGAAAAAATGAAATAGTGCCATTTCCAACAATATGCATGGATCTTGAGATTATAATGTTATGTAAAATAAGTCAGGAAAACTCAAGAACCGTATGATTTCACTTACATGTGGTTTATAAAACTGAAAACAAAGGAACAAGACAAACAAATGAAGAAACAAAAACTCATACATACAAGACAATAGTTTAGTGGTTACCAGAGGATAGAGGGGGAGAGGGGTGGTAGATGAGGGTAAAAGGGATCAAATATAAGGTGATAGAAAGAGAACTAACTGGGTGGTGAACACACAATGTGATATGTAGATGATGTGTTTCAAAATTGTACACAAACCTATGTAACTTTATTAACCATTGTCACCCCAGTAAACTTTAATTAAAAAAAAAAATAGAACTCCTTTTCAAGTGCCAAGTTGTTATTCAAAAAGAGATTTCTCTACTGGTTTTTATGTTTCTAGAATGCCTCCCTCCCCTGTTTTGCTGAACATTCATTCTAAAATGATACATAAGTTTCACTCCACAGTTTGTTACATCACTATACTAAGCCAAATCTGTCATGGAGGGTTTACTTTTAAAAGCTATTTAGAGAAAATATTTTTGATTTTACTTAGTAAATGCTTTATTTAAAAGAATGGAACAGTTGAGCAAGAAGTAACTCAGGGAAGCAGTCCATTAGGAAAACTAAGTATGAATCTGTAGAACCTACGGGAATGTCACCTCTCTTCCAGGTCCTCCAGGCCTTCACAGTCCCATGCTGGATCTGGACAGCGATGTACGTCCCTCAGTTCTGGGTCATCTTAGTCAGACAGCTTCACTGAAAAGGGGCAGCAGCTTTCAGTCTGGTCGAGATGACAGTAAGTATAGCTCTCCACCCCCACTTTGTCTTTTAAATTTGTACTCATGTAATTTCAAACATTTTTCTTGAAAAATTCCATAATTGTGTTACTACTGCTAAATATTACCAACCGTCATCTCTTCTACTTATTAGGTAACTACCCAACAATTAAATTTAAATAATTAATGTGCATTTTACATTGTATATTAAATAAATGTCATTTGATTTTTTAATAAGTCAGGCACAGGTCAGTGCTTAATCAACATATTTAAAGTCTAGTTTTATTGTTTTATGGTTTAATTTTTTAAAATATGCCACAGAAAAAAAATTCTTTGAGAACATCTTTAAGATAAAACTTGCAACAAAAGTAATTTCTGTAGTGAGTACAGAGAAAGACTCCTTTTCAGTGAATTTTAAAATTTGGTTTGGAAAGGAATCATTGTTAATCAGAAATTAATTGCTCGTCTTTTGTCATGCGATAAAGCATCTCAAATTTTAACTATGTTACGTTTCTTAACTTTATAAAGTTGGTGTTTACCTATTGTTTATTTACCTGTATGAGGTATAAAATATATTGGTTATAATGCATTCGTGTGCCAGCTAGGTGCTGTTAGTCACTGGTTATTTATAACCTCAATAATAAAAACAAGAGATCCAAATACAGTATTAGAAAAACTTTATATTTCAAATACCTCTACAGTTTATATTGAAGTATTTTGTGTTATTCTTACAAGTATTGGAATAGGGAATTCTTTAAGGTTTCATTAGTAAATACAAATGAATGTCCATGATAAGAACACCTTAAAATTAGGTGATTCATTTGTACTAAATGAAGCGTTTCCATAACTATGGATATTCCTTCATCTCGCCCTGTTCCCATTCTCCACCTGGCCAAAGAACACTTGTATAAACAATGAAAGGACAGAAACTGTTGGCTCCCGCATTCTTCGGTACAGTGTAGCCCTCCCTCTAAGTATGTAATCCCAGGCCTGATCCTGGAGTGCAGCCCACCAGGGTTTTTAAGAAATCCTTCCATCCTTTCTTTAGCAGGATATTACATCAGGTCTAAAAGCCCTCCACCTCACTCCTTCCCAGTTAATCCACTACCACCAGTTGACATGCTAACAAGCTTAAATAAATTCAAATTTATACTTGAGGCTGACTTGAAGGAATTATATCACCTTGAACAGTTCAGAGTTATCCTGCCTAGGATATGTCAAGCTTCTTGGATCTATTTTATCAAATTCTGGAAATTGTCATCAAATTTGAAAAAATTTTGGCCATAATTTTCTCAAATATTTTCTGTTCTGCTTCCTTTTCTGGGACTCCATTTATGTGTATGTTAGGCCAGTAGATTATCCCATAGATCACTCAGGCTCTGTCTCCTGCCCCTCAGTTTTTTTACTCTGTGCTCCATTATAGAGTCAGTTGCTACTCCTTTAACTTTTCTGGTCTTTTATCTGCAGTGTCTAACCTAAAATTTTCAGACGCTGTATTTTTCATCTCTAGAAGTTCCATTTGGTTCTTTTAACTATATTCCCTTTTTCTAATTATTTTCATGTTTTTCTTTAAATATTTGAACGTTGCCCATATTGGTTAATTCTGTCATCTCAGTCATTTCTGGATCTGTTACTATTGACTAATTTATCTCCAGGTTTCTAGTTATGGTTCACATGGCTAATTTTTTTTTAAAGATTTTTATTGGGGAATTGGGGGATGGGGACAGCACTGGGGAATTGGGGAAGGGGAACAGACAAGTTGCTGTCTTTTGTTCTTTAGTCTAGTTGTGGAGGACATTGCTTCATTGGCCCAAGTTGGCACCATCATTGCGCTCTTCCCGGGCGAGGCAGATCAGTCGCCGGCTTCTGGACGGCCGCTCACTGCGGCTGCTGGCTGCTCACGCTGGCTGCTGGCTGCACACGGCAGCCCATGGCAACCCACTGCAGCAGGGGCTGCAGCCAGCACAGTCGCCGGCGACTCACGGCAGCCCAGCTCCAGGTTGAGCTGTTGTTCAGCATCTTAGCTGTGGAGGGCAGTGTCACTGGCCCTCATATGTGGGATCCGAACCAGGGCCCTCTGGCGTCCCCAGCCAGCTCTTAACCATCGCGCCACTTGGCCGGCCCTGGCTAATTTTTATTGTTTCCCAGACACTGTGAATATCCAGTGTTGAGTGCCTGGGTTTTGTTGCCTTGCTTTCAAGAGTAGTAGACTTCATTCTATCAGTTACTTACATACAAGTTTGATCCATTCTAGGCCTGTTGTTAAGTTCGCTAGAGTAGGTAAGAGTTGCCTTCCTTCCGGGGTACTTCAGCCCTACTACTGAGGCATGATTTCTTGGGTCTCTACCGAATGGCTTAGGCACTTGATGAGAATTGTTCCCTCAGGCTGTTGAGAACTAGAACACCCTCCTGCCTGTGTGATCTCTGGGAGTCATCAAGCATACACTACTAATGCATAACGGCTCTCAGTAAAAACTTACAAAGACTCATGCGATTTTTGGAGCTCATCTTCTGTGTAGCTCTCCCTCTTCTAGCATTCTTTCCTGCATTTTCCAGTCACCTCTACCTCCTTGAAACTCATCTTTCCAACTCAGAAAGGCCACTGAGCTTTGTTGAGGTTCATCCTCCTTTGCCTCAGTCATCTAGAAATTCTCTGCAGGCAGAAAGCCAGGGCAGTTGTGGACCCCAGCATTTCCCTTTCCTATTATTCAGTGTCTGGAAACAGTATATATATATACATATCTTTCCAGTTTTCTGATTCTTTATTACTGGAGGTTGCATCCAATTCTTGTTACTCCAGCATAGCTAGAGGTGGAAGTAAAATAATTCAAGTTTATTTTCCCTAAAATTATTACTTCAAATTGGAACATTATGAAAGATTGCTTACAGTTAAGGGTAGGTATGAATAAAGTTGAGGAAGCTCATTCTTGACTTTGTGATCAAAGCAAAATTTATGAGCCTACAAACTTTTAATTTCTATTGAAAATATTGAACATTCCTACCATGTCCCCTAATTCTTTTCATCAGTCTTAGGAAATAACTCTTGAAGTTATTCTGTCAGTGATATAGCATGTGGGGATTAACTAGGACATGTGTGATTCAGTAAGAAAAGAAAATCCAAAATCATTTTTCAGTTACAATGATCAGAACTTGGATGAAGTAGACTTAGAAGGAATGCAGGCACGGATTCGCACTACATACATACATACATAATAGGTATAAAAAAATCTGCTAATAATGAAAAGAGCTAATGAAACACAAGACTGAAAATTATTCTCTGTCACTAGGCTGGAGTAACCCATGTGTTTTCCAAGAATCTGGATGGTCGAGTGCCATCCAGCATCTCCAGCTCAGTATGTGATCACCTGACAATACTATTTAGTGGGTAGCTGTATTAATACTCCAGACTGTGGTGAACTTAGACAAAATAATTTACCGATTAACCTGCCGTAAAGAGATTCAGCTGAAGGAATCTTTTTTGAAATCTTTTAGAATTAGTTTATGTTTTTACTTCCAATTCTCCAAATACTTCTCCTATCATGAAGTCATTTCAGTTAGACTATTTACTAAGTGATGGATTTAACAAGAGAGAAGCTGAGTTTACTTTCTGTTCCCTTATTTTGTGGTTTTCAAAAATAATTTTTGGTTTGGTGAAGGCAATGTTCCCTATTTTTCTCTGGGGTGGAGGCGTTATCTGTGACAGACTGATCCTTGAGACCATCCTCTGTGTCTGTACAGTACCTGGGTGTGGAGTCAGCCAGGCCGACAACACACAGAGCTTGTCCAGCCTCAGCGTCAGTGGGAACTTGGGTCATCTTAGATTGCTCCCACTCTAATTCCCCAGTAAACAAGCCCTGGAAAGAACAGATGAGATAAGGATACCACATGAGTTCCTCAAATAGGGCTATACAAAATAATGGTCACTAGATGCATGGTGAAGCTCAGATCTTTTGAAGCATTAACTTTGGGGAAGAAACCATATAAGCGTCTACTTGCAGCATAGGCAGACCTTGGAGTACAGCCCCAGAGTTAGTAGTAGATAGTGGACGTTCAGTACGTATTAGCTGAATGAACAAGTCCAACTTTACAGCATGCCCCTACATGAAGAACTGGCCTTCCCCGTATACTACAGCTGAGCTTAATGTTCTCCCCACAACTCATGGCATAGACGGAGGGCTAGTGAGCCCCATAAATAAGGAGGCTCTATAGGCCACAGAAAGGGAGCCTGCACGGCTCTTAAGCATATTAATAGGGACTCAACCTCACTCATAATAAAAATTAAAAAGGTGTAATGCTACAGTGAGATACTAGTTTGGCCAAAATCCCCAGTGTTTATTGTTTGGGGTTTTGTGTATTCTGTTTGTTCACTGGTGAGGTTATAAGGAAGCTGCAACTTCCATGTGTAGATAATCCCTGTAGAGATCAATTTAATAATACATATAAAAATCACAACTCCATACATTCTTGGACCCAGCAATTCTTGTTCTGAGAATTTCTTTATATGGGTACAGATGGTCCCTGACTTAATGTTGTTTCAACTTAATGATTTTTCAACTTCACCATGGTATGAGAGCAAAACGCATTCAGTAGAAACTGTACTTCCAATTTTGAATTGTGATTTTTTTTCCCCTGGGCTTATGCCATGTGGTATGTCTTGTGCTGCTGGGCAGCAGCAAAAGTGACCACAGCCCCAGCCAGCTTGGCGTCAGGGTCAGCAGCTCATGCTCCAGTGTGCCCTGTGCTGGTGTTCTCAGGTATTGGCTTCTGGGCACGTAAGGCGGGGTAGGCTAAGCAATGGTATTTGGCAGGTTAGGTGCAGTAAATGTATTTGCAACTTACAGTATGTACACCCTCCAGTGGGTTTACTGGGATGGGACGTGTCGCAGGTCTAGGACATGGGCGTGCACGTACGCTGAAACGATGAGGGCCGCCTTATTGGTGCAAGTATTAATGTTAACTGCAAAAGACGGGAAACGGTCTTGTCCCTCAGAAGGGGACTTATTAAATTATGGTATTTCCAAAACACGAAACACTATGTGCCTGGGGGGAGCAAACGAGGAAGCATTTATGTATGAATATGGAAGAACTCCAAGATTCATTGTGAAATGAAAAAAAATCTTAAGTGTCAAAAGAGTGTGTTTTAGTATGCTTTCATTTGTGGAAGAGAACATTTGGGTGGGGGCAGAATACATATTTTGTTTGCTGTGTATATAAAAGACATCTAAGGAAGAATCACAAGAAACTAACAATAGGGGTTTCTTATGGCTGGTGTTGCAAACTGGGCAGTCGGGGATGAAGGTCGGAGGTGGACTTTGCTCTGTATACCTTTTCAGTTCTCTAGTCTAACCATATATTGTCTATTTAGAAAATTATTAAACATATTAAAATAAATCTATCCTCCCCCACTAGAATAACAGCAGTAACATTAACAACAAAACTTTTTGCCTAGGAGTATTTTGAAAGGAATCTGATAGTTGGTGAAGGAATTAATGAAAGTCTTCTCCTGAAGTGTCTGTGAATGGAATTTGGCAGCTGACCACAGACTTGCTCCTCAGTCTGGCTGGAGACTGGCAGTGGGGTCTCTGCCCTGCTCCTGCTGGGGGCTCTGAAGCAGAGCCACAGGGCCAGGAGGCAGGGCGTACAGGGCTGAGGAGGCGAGCGGAAGGTGGGAGAGCAATGAGTGCTCACTGAATTACTACCTTTGTTTTCTTCCCACAGGCTTACTCTTTCCATAAGAAATCTGTAAGACCTTGTTTCCCACTTACTGCAATAACTGCATTAAATTATATGTAACCCAAGAGGCTCCAATATTTTTATTTTTCTTAAATTCCTTTGTTATGGGAGGAGTTATTCATTACATGATTGGGCTTGAATATGTTCCTTTGTGGTAATGTGATTTCTTATTAAATTTTCACCACAAAGGGTGTATAGTGGCATTTCTAACAGGTTGATATTAGCCTTAAATTCAGTTACTGGATGTGAGGCAGCCCCGACTTTCCTTACTTTGCTGTGTGAAGGCATAACTTTTTGGAGAGAAATACAACATCCTGAAGACAACAGGGTTGAAAAGCCAGAGCACCTCCCTCCGTGAAGCCCTCTCTGCTTCTGCTTCTGTGCCCTCCTGACCTGCCTGCCCCTCTCCTGCCTGCCATGCCCCTCTGAGAAAAGCAGAGCCTCTGGTGAGAGTGTATTCTCTTCTGGCAGGCGTTGGTAGTGAGATGTGGAAAAGGAAATACCGGCCTTTCGGCAAATTAAAGCTCTGCAGCCAGAATGGGACACGTTTCTAGGCAGAGGAGCAGCAATATATTGAAACAGATTTTTATTCTTGATTCAAAAGTATATTCATGGTATTTTATTCTTTCCCCCGCTTAGCATGGAGATACAAAACTCCCCACCAGGTGGCATTTGTTGAAAAATTGACCAAGCTTGTTTTAAGTCAGCTGCCTAACTTCTGGAAACTCTGGATTTCATATGTTAATGGAAGCCTTTTCAGTGAGGTATGTATACAAATTTGACTACATATGTAACTAACTCATTGTGCATTTCTAGTCTTAAAAATTTTAGATTCTGAAGTGACTTTTTTAAAACCTTAGAGGCCCAGCATCTATAACTATTGCCAGATATTTTAAGATTAGTTAAAAGTGCTATAAAAGCCTTACACTAATAGCTATATGACCTTGAACAAGCTAATTTCCTGAGACTCAGCTTCCTCAACTGTGAAAAGAAAATAGTAAGGGCATTTATCTCAAAAGGTGATTATGAGGATTAAATAAGATAGTTAAAGAAAAATAAAAACTTGAAATATTTTCACAGATTCTGAAGTGAGTATAGGCCAAATTACAGATGAAAGTATTGTGCAGTAGACTATAAACAAGTCATAAAACAAGGATAAAGTGTTCACTGCTTGCACACGGGCCCTAAACTCATATAATTATGGAATTTCCTAGATGGAAAGAATTGAAAGATTTTGTTATCTAGCCCTCTGTGATCAGCCTTTTCTGTTTTCACAGGTCACACATTTACTTAGTGTCTTAATCATAACATAATTGGTGGCATTTAATTATGAACCTAAAGTAGTGACTCTGACTTACATGTGTAGCCTGTGGAACTTAGACTCATCCTTCTGTAGTCTCCCTTCGAGTGCCCCATGGCAAGCTCATGTCCTGGAATGCCTCAAGCTGCCAGGGACGTGCCACTTGTGACACGGAGGAGGCAGCTCTGGTTTCTTTTCTCCACAGAGAACTCTTCACAGCCCTGAGAGAGCTGTAACGGTAGGGGTCTTCCTGAGGATACAGGCTACAGCCTGCTTGTTTTACACTTGCTGACACAGAAAGTAGATGTGGAAAAGGGTTAAACAGTCTGCTTTTTTGTACCAAGGCACACCTTTGAGGTTCAAGACCCCTCTTCCTTGGCAGAATGTGGTTGGTTTCTTGGTACTCCAGGGGTCCATCCGTCTCATTTGACTGTGGACATACATTTATGCTGTGCTTGAAGAAACAGTTGTTCTCTGGAGTTTTTTGGTTTTTCCATTATATATTTAATTCTTACTTGTCCACTATCTCTTTTAAATCTGGGAGATCCCTAGATCTTTGTTAATATGAATGGTTAGTTATCTAAACCAGAAAATTTACTTAATGTATGAAAAACAAAAAAAAACGATAATGCATGGAAAACTTCCTTAGTGCAGAAGAACCAGTCTCTTAAGCCTGAGTTATCACTGTATTTTTTTCTTCCTTTAGTTTCAGCAGTGTATCAGTTATATACTTTATAAATGAACATTTAAATATTATAGCAATAAATAAAGTATGTCACAACTTTCTTATGTCCTTTTTTGCATCAATTGTTTATACAGAAGCTCTGCTGAAAAAGTTCACTATACAGAGATCAGTCTTCCATAAAATCAGTGTAGTTTGATTGGTTGACCTTCATAAATGCTAAGGTGCTTATTTCTGGCTGAGGAAGAAATGGTCTAATTGCAGTTTTTCAGGTGTCCTGAAAAAGTTTCCTCAGTGTTCTTCTTTCAAACATTTCCCCATCAGTTCACGTTTTTATTCATCTCAGCTGGATGAGAGTTGTGTGCTGGGAACAGGTTTGGTTTTCTTGCTGTGTCCCGCATTGGGGGATGGCTACATACTTGTTGTGTCATAGGTGCTTCTTACCTGCTCCATCTCTAAATCACACGGGGAAAGGTCGAGGTTTCCATATCAGTAGTGTTCATGTTTTTTGGACAGTAGTGTTCATATTTTTTTCTTACAGAACACTGGTGTCCTATTTAGAAACACCCAGTATTTATCCCTTATGCTCTGTGACTTGAAATACGGGATTGATTAACTACTAGAATAGTATTAAATAATGTCAAAATGGATCAACTCATTTAAAGAATCATTCCCTTAGGAAATGGATTTTAAACCTAGTTATTTGTTTCTAGCCAAGTGTTTTTTTTTTCCTTCCAATTAGATTGGTTCCTATAGGAGGCCCACCACACGTGGGCAATAGTTGCCTTATCGTGAGTCTTCTTAGAGTTTGTAAAATCCTAAGAGTTTCCAATCTGAGATATTTTGGTGAAAAGGAAATACATTTTTGTTCCTTATAGGTTTGTATACCTAGTTGTGGTATAAATGTAAATAAAATGTTTGGTTATAGATGAAAAATAGATGGGCTACTTCTGAATTCATGAGCAACATTAGTACTGAAAAAAATAGTTTTAATTAGTTGTACTGAGTTGGATATGCCTATGGTGTTTCTACCTATTTATATTTATAGACTTTCTTAAAAGTTTATAGTAATAATTACTAATTAAATATAATTTGCTCTACAGATTTGGGCATGTTTTAAAACTTTACCCTCTTTTGAAAAGCTAGAAAGACAACAAAGGGCAAAAATGAATGGAGGAGTCAGGAAAGTGCACCCACCATGTCAGTCTGTGAATGAGAGCTAGAAGCTTAATTAAATTAATATTGGGAAGAATTATGGGCTTTTGAGAGTTGGTATTTTATCTCATGTAAGAAAGCTCTAATATTTTAACAATTTACTTGAAATTTCTTATTTTTCTTGTTATAGAACTATTTTTGTTTTATTAAGAGTCCATCCGTTAAAGATTTAGATGGGGTTTCCAACAGTTTAAAAAATAGTTCTTCAAACCAATCAAGCCCATGTGAAATAACATATGTGAATCAAAACAGTGAAATCTAGCCGTTGGTCTCACCACAAAGTAGTTTTGGTCTGTGTGTGCAAGAAAGAGTTAAGGTTGTTAGTTAACGAAATGGTTAATAGTAGGTTAAGATCTCACCTTTAGATATATTTTTAATATAGTATATTTTGGGGTAAAAACTTTAAAGCATCCAAATAATTTTTAAATATTAGGAATCTGCATTTTAAAAAGTTGTATAACTCATAGTATATAAATTAAAATGCACTTTTATGTTCCAAAATTAGATTAAAAAAAAGAGCAAACCTTACATGATTCAGTATATTGGAGGTATTCAATTCTTCATCAGATTAAAACAAGTAGCTGTTTTTAAATTAACAATTGCGAGAGTTATGCCTTACAATGAATTCCCCTAACCCCTCCACTGTTCTTTTCTTTTTTTGAAGGGTTTTATTTCTTTAAAGATCTTTATAAAAAATATAGCTAACATACAACATTATATTAATTTTAGGTGTACACCATAGTTACTCAACATTTATAAACTTTAATATGTGATCACCATGATAAGTCCAGCCAACCACCTGACATCATTACCACGCTATCACAATATTATTCACTATATATCCCACGCTGTACATTACATCCCCATGACTTATTTGTTTTATACCTGGAAATTTGGACCATTTATTCCCCTTCACCTCTCCCCCCCTTTTTTAAATTTTCAATAACTGATGACATTCAGTATTATTGTGTATTAGTTTCAGGTATACAGCATAGTGGTTAGACATTTATATAATTTAGGAATTGATGCCTCTGACTAGTCTAGTACCTACCTGGCACCATACATAGTTATTACCATAATACCATAATACATGGTTATTACCATAGTTATATTCTCTGTGCTTTACTTTACATCCTCATGACTAATTTTATGTAACTACCAATTTGTACTTCTTAATCCGTTCACCTTTTCCACCTTGCCCCCTCCCATCTATCACCCCAATAAATCTGGTACCCATCTGATGCCATATATTGTTATTACAATATTATTGACTATATTCCGTATGCTATACCCTACATCCCCATGATTACTGTGTAACAACCAATTTGTACTTCTTAATCCCTTCCCCTTTTTCACCCACCCGCAAACCCCCTCCCATCTCCCACTCCACTTTTCATATATTTGGAGATAGGTCCTTGAAGTTTACATAATAATTCTGTTCAGTAGATGTCATCATGATTCATTAGCACCTGTTTGGTGGGAAAAATTAGCCGGAATTTTGATATGTTTTTTAATGGTTTGTCACTTTTTTTTTTTTTTTTGAAAATATATCACAGACAAAGGACTATGAACTAATCTTCCCACGGAACAAGCCCTCTGCGTAAAACGTTCAGTATTAGGTGCTGTGGCAGATCAAGTAGAAAAGACACCATCTGACAATTGAGATACTTTTTATACTGGCATGACCCTTCATTGAAATAAATTACCCCTTTCTTTCTGAATCCCATCCTTTCCCCCACAGCACACTGACTAACCCTGTATTAGTCAGGGTTAAGGAAAACAGAACCAATAGGATGTTTGTTCTGTTTCCAATCTATATGTTAAACGAACGAGATGATCAAAAGGAATTGGCTCCCATGATTATGGAGGTTAACAAGTCCCAAGAGCTGTAGTCAGCAAGCTGGAGACTCAGAAAGCCCACCGTGGGGTTCCAGTCTGGAGGGCCGCAGGCTCGAGACCCAGAAGTACCATGGTTTCAGTTCCAGTCTGAAGGCTGGAAAGGACCCGTGTTGCAGCTCATGCAGTCCAGCATTAGGAACTCCCCCTTCGAGAAGGGTCGGCCTTTTTGTTCTAGTCAGGCGTCTCACTGATTGGATGGGACCACCCACACTGAGGAGGACAGACGGCTTCCTTCAGGTGTTCATCTTATCCAGAAACACCAAAACACATGCAGAGTAATGTTTAACCAAATTTCTGGGCACCCCATGGCCCAGTCAGGTTGACACATAGAATTGATCATCACAAAGTCCCTACCATAGATTTCCCAGTGCAGGATGCCTGTTCTGTGCCTCTGACATCACAGCGGGTGCCGGGCTTCACAGCAACACCTGTATTCCACACTACAGCAGTTCTCCCACCCCCAACATTCACACAGTCCTCAAATCTCTACTCATTCCTTTTACTGACATCTTAAATCTCCAGGAGAAGCACTGAGTCTGTGGAACTTTTCAGGAGCACGTCACAGGGTTATGCCCACAGACCCACATGTGGGGACTCAGGATTTCAAGTTTTTTAAAGAAGGCCTTTAGACTAACCTGCCCTGTCTCCCCAAAAATAAGACCTAGCTG